GATCTGAGTGATAGATAGATAGATAGAGAGAGAGAGAGAGAGAGAGAGAGACAGACAGACAGACAGACAGACAGACAGACAGACAGACAGACAGACAGATGATAGATAGATAGATATAAATCTGCAAGAATAAATTTAATTGAACATAGATTTAATTGATCAATAAAACTACAAGATACAAAATAAATTTAGTATTTTATTGAAATAAAAGAAAATAATCTGCTTTCATTCTGAATACAACCCTTATTAGAAATGAGATGCAGAGTATGTTTGTAAATTAATTTTTGGAGTCATTATACATTTAAGTAAATGCTATCACAATGCCTTGGAACCAACACAACTCATATTCTCTGAAGTAGCCTGTGAGAGGAGTCACTGATGGTTATTCTCATGTCCAATCCGCCCAGAGACTGAGAAAGTTGAGGCCACTCCCCTCTACTTCTTCTGCATGGCTCCAGTTTAATCTTAGTCTCGGCCCGTAAGAGTACTGTTTTTGTTTGACTCTTCTGATTGAACTTCTTGTTTGAGAATTTTCCTATCCTAACTTCTCCCATCTCTTTCCCTATTGTTTCTCCTATGTGATTGTTGCTGGGCATAAGCAGGGCTTTTCCCAGGAGCTTTGGAGCCTTCGAGACCCCTGGCAACTCAGGGACAGAGACAACTCAAATCATGATGGTTGTTTGGGGGGGGGGGGGTTGAAGCCGCGCAACAAGAGACGCCTGGTGGGAGTGTAACCCCATTGCATCGGGGGATTGTTGGAGCTCTGCCGGTTCATCAAAGGTGCTTTTGAGGCAGAGCTCCTGGAGATTTGGACTGCGTGGTTGGCGGCCGCCATCTTGGAGAGGTGGCGGCTTCCAAGGAGACACATGTGGCTGGAGTGTGAGGATCGGCACTCTTCTCAATTCGCCACCAGCACTGTTCAGGGCCACTGTGAGTGCCGGAGGGGCATGGGAAAGGCAAAGCTTCTCCATGCATCGGAGATGGCCTCCTGCTGCGCAGCGCACGGAGGAGATAAAGCCACAGATCGGGGCTCCACCTTGGCCACATGCACGAGGCATGGCCTGGTCGGGACGCTCGTAAGAAGCCCTAGCCAGCTGGAAAGGGCTAGTAGGACAAAAGGACTGCTGTGAGTACCTGCGTAGGCGGGGGATCAGGTGAGATGCAGATGCCACGAGGCGAACTGGAGCGGCTGCTCCAGGCTCTCTGGAGACTTCTGATCTCGATGAGGGAATTTGAGGGGAACTGTCTCTTCGGGCGGGAGAGGGCCCTAGGTCGGAAGAGCACCTCCAAGTCCTCCAGGAAGGAAGGTGCTCAGAAGCAGCAAACAGTTGGGAAGAGGACCACCAAGACTGCTGCAAGGAGGGCTAGAGATAGCATCAGCTCTTCATCTTCCAGGTCTCATTTGCTCCTGAAGATCACCGGTGGCTGAGTCCCTTTCTAGGTTTCCAGGTTCTCCCAGGAGAGATATCTCCCTGTCTCCATCTCTTTCACCTGAATATTCAGGAGGTCATCTGGCAGACCCTTTTGGCCGGCAGGCTGCTGGATCTAGTAGGCCAGGATTGGCTCCCCAGTCATCCATCACTAGGCCAGACTTGGAGCCTCCCATCCTTTCACCAATGTTCCCAGACATCCCAGAGAATTTTCAGAATGTTATTGCCCAGGCTATTGCTCAAGGCATTGCAGCAGGGATGCAGCAGAAATTCCAGCCTTCTAGGTGGAGTTCGTCTTGTGGTACCCCACAAGGTCATCCAAACCAACCCGGAACCTCGACGGCTCAGGAGCAACGACCGGGTTCCCCTTCAATGGCTAGTGAAGGGTCTTGCTCAGATGAGGAGTATCATGAGGCATGCAGGCTTCCGGTGCCGGCTGGCATCACGGCACACTCCACTAGGAGTGCGGCCACGTCTGCGGCCTGGTCGACTCAGGCGCCCATCAAGGATATTTGTAGGGCGGCCACCTGGGCTTTGCCCTCGCCTCACCTTTCATCAGGCACTACTGGCTGGATGCTTACGCTTCAATTGAGCCTTCTTTCAGTAGGAGGGTACTCCAGGGAGTGCTGGACACTTGAGGGGCTCAGGCCCATTGATTCCCTCTCATGGACACCAAGCTTTGGTATGTCCCATCAGTGACATGCCCACAAGCTACTTTGGAGAATGTCAGTTCTGAACTGCATTTCTCTAAGTCCTGTGGGATGAGTCACTTCCCACCCTAGTTAGAGCGCCTTGCTGGCGTGAAAGGTCCTGAGCAAAACAGCCTTAGTGGCTGTTTTGGTCAGTCAGGATCCTGGTGTTGTCTTTCCTTTCCCCTTCCTTCCCAGGTTCTTCCTTGGAGCACTAACCTTCAATTAACTAACTAACGGATCTTTGATTCCATCTTTGATTCCATCCACCAAATTCCATCTTTGCTCTTTTCTAGTCATAAAAACAAACCTTATTTCATTTTATTTTCTTCTTTTTCCCTGCAAGTCCATGGATTTCATAGAAATGCTCATTTGGTGAAAGCCATTAATTTTAAAGTGTGTGTAGTTTTCGCCATGTGACCTACTATGGGGAGATCCTGTTGCACGATTAGCTTGACCTAAGACCTTGGAAAATGTCAGCTTTATAATCATCTTGAATAGGAGCATGACTTTAGACTAGAAAAATGGAGCCCTTTGAGAAAAAAAAATATTTCCTCCGCCAGTTACAATACAATAGCTCATAAAGATTGGTTATTAATCATTCACGTGCTTTGTTTAATCAGATTAGGAAATTCATTTCTCCTAGGAAAGAAAAAGGGGAAGGAATTCTCTACCTAGAGATATGAAGCAACTTTGAGGAAAATCTTGTTTTAATAAAAATTGAGCAAAAAAATTATAATTCATTTTTGTATTCTATGGCTTAAATATTTCTTGAGATTAGTTATCATATATTTTAAGCATTATTTGGTTTAAATAGCCAACTGAATGAGAACATGTTTTTGACATGAACATCATTGCATTGAAATATGAAAAGCTCTAAGATGGTACTTACAAAGTATATGACCTTTTGATGAATTTATTTGACCAGTGATACAAATGACTCTGGAGAAAGTGTTTCAGTCAGAATCAAGCTTCTATTATATGCTTAATGGACCTCATAATTTAGATTTATAAGGAAAAAACAATCTTGTTTTTAGCTGCAGAAATATAGCTGCTAAGATTTAATGAATTGGGTTGAGGTAAGTCTATAATTCTATTGTTCCTGCTCCTTGTAATGTTGTTAGTCCTCATAATGTTATTAGTGTTTAGGTGTATGTAACCGTATTATTCACCATGTTCTTCATCTAGCTAAAAGCACCACAGGCAATTTTGCACTCCAGATGTTCATCAGGGCCCTTTGACCAGAAAAGAGGAAAAGAAACCCCAGTCATAAAAGACAAACCTCTTTCTTCATTCATGTTTTATTTTAAAATTAAATCTGTTAACCTTCCATTTTATAAATCTGTGTGAAGACCTGAGATCCTGGTGCGCGATTAGCTTGACCTAAGACCTTGGAAAATTTCAGCTTTATAAATAATTATTATTTAACATTAAAAGTGTGTAAATATAGCCTTAATGGATGTTGCCAGTAGTGTCAGCTAAATATCAAAAGTTGTTTATTGGTGTTTGTAGAGCAAGACACAAGATGCAAAGCTGGCTTGTTACCTGACAAAAGAGCATGTTATTTCTATCTTGCAAAGGAGAGCTCTTAATTAAGAGGTCATGTGCCAAAAAAAACCAAAATGGGAAATACATTTAAATGTGTATATTCAATATATACAGCCTTCCTCCTTGACATTTATCTAATGGTTACATTCTGTTATTGTTAATTATTATTGTAGTATTCCAGCATTTTCCAAAATGTGTCTTTTCTATTCAATAAAATCGTGACCTTTAGTCCATCAAGGTTATGAGAGCTAGTATTGCTACGTATTTATTTATTTCTCCTTTAACTGCTAAGAAAAATTGTGGTGATGGGCTCTGTCCTTTGCTATCTTCGTTCTTCTCTCTTAGATACTTGAACTGAACAAACGCATCTCTGTTATTGAAAGTATGCTCAGCTGCCTTGAGGAAAAGATCCTAGTTCATTCTGAGAAGGTAAAATCAAAAACAGAGTTATACATACGCCCAGGTTGCTATTTACTCAGCTATTTCTCTAGCAGCCTGATCTGACAGCAGGTCTGATTCTGGGCTGCTCTTTAATAGACCTAGATGCCAAGCTGCTCTTTATTCCTATCAGTGCTTCAACACCTTGCCCACTTGATTAGTGCAGAAGCCTCAGGGCAATTGTCTAGTTCCTTCTTCCTCTGAAGGCCAACATTCCAGGGCCAACATTCCTCAGTGCTGCTCACAGGCTTAACTAATTCTTTCAAAAAAGTAAAGTAAGATGTTTTTATAGTATAAATAGAACACATCGCCAGGGATGTGGAACAAGAGGTTCCAAATGTAAATAGGTGCTTAACCCACTAAGATTTTCTGCCTCATGGATCTTTCATTTAAAGTAGATGATAGAGAAATATTGTACATTACTAGACCTCATTGTGGCATTTTTGCTGCTCATTGGAATGGATGTCTCAATATCTTGTGTAGTTAAGACAATAATCCAAACAGTAAATTGATCAGTTAATTCCTACTACATGGTAAGATTTAGGTTTCCATAATCCCATGTTAAAAAGATGTTCATCTGTTTACTCATATGTATGTAGACTTAGAATAAGCCAGTTAGAACATATGATTGAGAATGACTTGTTTTTGTTTCACTAGCCTCTAGCTATTGATCCCTACATTGATCATAGCACAGAAGAGAAGGAACTGAAGAGAAAATTAGAAGAATTAACAAGTAGCATAACTGAAAAAGCTGTTTCTACTGATGAGGAAAATGCAGGAAAGAAGACTGAAGAATCCAAACCAGAAATCGATTCATCCAATGATGACCTTCCTCCTGATGCGAAGAAGGTATTGTCCTCTGTTTCATACGGTCTTTATTCTCCTTTCAACAAAGCTCTGTTCAGGCAACCACCTTGTAATGTGACCTATTTTCCTGTAAAATCCCACTCTTTGACACTTCATCGACAAAGACATCTATGTGTTCAGTGAGAATGTGTGGACCAAAAAAGATATTCTTGCTGAACATAGGGCTCTCTTTGTAGATTAGATCTCACAAGCTTAACTTTGAGGAATAGGGCTCAACCCTCTTGTGTCTATGGTTGATGTTAAGCCTTTTTGTAATGTGTTCGAGTTTATGTGTTTTGCTTGAAGAGTAACCAGCTTGCTTTGACTGTATAATTCAATTAACTCTGGCAATCTCAGTGTGGATTTTTTATAATATTACTAACAATTGAAAAATTCCATTTAATTTTTATTTGTTATAATACATTTTATTAAAAGTTTTAAAAAACATAAAAATTAACACAAATTAATGCAAAATAGAAGAAAGAAAGAAAAGAGAGAGAAGAAAAATGAGAAAACAAAAATGTAGAAAGAATAAAAAGAAACAGAAATAAGCTTCCAGTTTCCTCTGCTACAAATATATGTTTGATTACAAAATTATATTTAGTCTATGATTACAAAAAAAAACCAAACCCCTTTTTCCTGTTATCTCCTTTTTCCCGTGAAAACTACAAGTCATAAGTCCATTTTTTCTGCAAATAGTCTATAAGGAGTTTTCATTCAATCATAGATGTAGATAATGTCTTTTTCTATCAAAGGAAGTTAATTTAACCATCTTTGCAAATTCCATCAACTCCATCAACTTAACCAATCATTGCTCCATCGTAGGTAGACATTTCTACTTTTGAGCATATATTCGCCTTATTGCAGTTTTCATATATATTTGTGTGTGTGTTTGTGTGTATGTATACATA